TCAGGTTCTACGGAAGATATGCATATAAGCTAAGGTTACCAGATTTTTTTCCAAAGAATCCAGGAACACTTTTTTTTAAAAAAAAAAAAAGAGAGAGAGAAAGATTTGTTTGTTTGTTGGTTTGTTTGTTTGTTTATTTATTTAAAAAATAAGAAGTAATCTCTTCTGTGGTCTCCTCTGTCACACAGCCTTCCTCTGGGCCCTGGCCTGCTCTCTTGGAATGCTAGCTGCCGTGGAGTTGGCTCGGGTCAGGCCTGGGCCCGGCCACGTGTCCTTGCCCTCCCAGTGCTTTCCTACCTCTCCTCCTCAGTGGCAGTGGTGGCAGCAGTGCAGCAAGGTCGGGGCTCTCATCTTTTTTCTCCTTCCTCTTTCTCTCTCTTCCTTCTCCTTCTCCTCTCCTCCTTCTCCCTGTGTCAGCTCCGTTGAGCAGTCGGCCGCGTGGCCGAGCACTCTCGCTCCTGGCTCGATTTGGGTTGTGGGGTGTGTGTGTGTCAGCGGTTCCCTCAGTTGATGCACCAGGCATCCCCGGTTCCCCCTCGGCAGTTGCTGTTGCAGCGGCAGTCTCAGCAGCCCGGCGCCAGCCTGGTAGCACAGTTGGCTCTGGCTGGCTTCAGGAGCTGCTCACTGCAGTGGTGCCCACCATTTTGCCTCACCAGAATTCCCCATATGATGTGTCTTGTGCCGTTGAACCAATCATGCAACATTCATTCCCTATGAATAAATCTACAACACTTAAAATATAAATCCGGGGACATTAAATTAAGCCTGGGGACATTCTGGGGATGGCTTTTGTCCGGGGACAGATTTGTAAATCCAGGGACTGTCCCCAGGAAACGGGGACATCTGGTAGCCATAACATAAGCATTATCTCAGAGATGCTCCCGGAGAGCTCCAGCAAGAGAGACATGGCATGGTTAATTCTGCTAAATAGAACAAAGACTTTTCTTGCTGGCTTCCTGGCTTTAGCAACTTATGTAAGTAAAACGGATGTAGGGTTGGGAGAAGCTGGCATGAGTTCCTCATGTGGAGGTTTATTAGCATCATCACTCACGTGCCATAATGAAGCCCAAATGATTCCCTCTCGGAAATTGTTCCCGGTGAGATCACAGTTATTAAATACCATGATTGCTGATCATAATTAAACTTTTATTAGCTAGGTTCCACTCTTGTCGGTTCAGCTTCCCCAGAGAGACCCTTGTTTCCTAGCCAAACGCTTTGGGGAAATATGTTCTGTGTGTGTGTGTGTGGTGTGTGTGTGTATGTTTATGTGTGTGCATCTATATAGATGTGTATATATAGGCAACATCAGTTATTCCAATTAGAATGAATGAATTTGCTAGTCATGTTCAGGTTCCCAGGGCACTGATGGCTTAATAAATGCAACAGGAGTTGGGGTTTCCTTTCCTTTGTAGAAATCCGCACTGGAAGGACAGAAACTGAAATGAGCGGTTGACCGGCTACACCAAATCAAGCCTCCGGTGGTTGGAGTGTCATCCTCACTGATTCTGATGGAAGGAAATGCTCTTCTACAGCACAAGTGGGATTTTATTCTAAGCAGATGACCATGGAACAGACTTATCACCAAAGAAGCTGGAGAGGAAGTGGATTGTCAAAGATCAGTAGGTGGCAGATGGCACCATCACATTGTTATTTTTGCAGGCCTGAGCTTAAAACGCTGTTGGGGCCATTGGAGAAAACACAGTGAGCATTTGTATCCCCAGAGGACTTCTGCTTACTCTGCAGCACTGGCTCACAGCTGAGAGCTTCTGTTTCAAGATGCAATCAGTGCTGGGAGATGCCGTGCAGCTGAAACTCGAGGGGATTAGCAAGGAGCCCCATAATGGAGGGCAAGTGGAACATGATGGGAAAGCAAAACAGTACATAGAACTCTGGTGCTTTAGAAACACAACATACATAGGAACAGAAACTGCAGTATGAATTGCTGCTGGTGCTTTAGCTCAGCTCTCAATCCAGGTGAGGACAGCATTTGCTCCATGGATTTCCACAGGAATACTAACTTTCTTATTATGGCTCAAATAATTTACTTCAGAGCAGACCTACTGACTTCAGAGGAGGTAGAATGAATGGCGAAGTGGTGCTTTAGCATTCTCTCAGGTGCTCAGAACTATGGGTGGCATCCAGTACATTGCATTAGTGCTAGGATTTCAGTTCAAGCAACTTAATCACCCCACATGCACCCCACCTCTTCCCCAAATCTGTTCCAGAGAGTTGGGGTAACCCCCATAACAGATGATACTGTGAATAATACATACATTATTATTCATATATTATTATTTGTGTAGGATTGAGACCAGTGCCGGCCCCAAACCCTTGAAATTCATTTGGTACACATTTTAACGTGAGCATACCATTTCCCGAAGTCCTACTGAAACTGAAAAGCACGCTTCTCCACATTTTGAATTCAGTTCTCCAATCATACATTTACTATGATGATTTCCCCATTATTTAGAATATACCAGATTATCAGTTTTCCCCACCTGTATGTCCTTCCTGCATCTCTGCTTCTGTTCAAAAGGAATCCCGTTTTATTATTTTGTTCAGTTCAGTTCAAATATATTGGTTATAACCATACACTTTACATTCAACAGAGCTTAACAAATGTGGTGAGAAATAAATCAGAATTAAAAAATTTTTAAAACAACAACAGCATCTTTAAAACCTGTCAGCACAATAGTGTGTGTGTGTGTGGCATTGCTATGCTACTCTTCATGATAGCTACTGGTAATTTGTGGTCTGGCTCTGTAGATTGTTTGCAGTTATAATCCATTCAGGAGAGAGAAACCATCTATATACTTTCAGGAACACTGTAAGTAAATAAATAGATAATGGTAAGTGCCATATGTGCCCAACCTTGAACCTCCATCTAAAATGTAAACATTACCTTCAGACTAGCAACTTGAAAGCTGACATTTGGACCTGTTAATTTCCTGCTAATGGAAGCCAAAAAGAAAACAATCTGTTGTTGATTTAAAATGAATGCTGGATTTCTCTCCCCCCCCAAATTACTTTTTTTATTTAGTTTCCATTCAGTTACACATTTTAAACGATCTTCACATTACATTCAAGTTATAACCATTTTCAGTATCGTACATTTTCCTATCCCTGTGACTTCCCTCCACCACACTGCAGGTTCTTCTACTTACATTTCTTTTCCCATTGTGTTGTAAATATTATTTATGAATATAGGATTTCTCAACCTGCATGAAATGACCAAGATATCCCCCCCCAAAAATATATCCAGTATCCTATCCCATCCAGAAAAACAAAACCCAGAACATGGTAATGCTTTGCGTTTATTCAAGCATTAGAGAAAGTAGTCTTATTTGGAGAGAAACCATGACTTGAAAGCACACAATTGCAAATACTTGAATTGCAATTGTCTTACTGTGTTTTTATGTGGCATCAACAGTTCAAGAATAGAAGGATCGTATCCAGTGACAGAACATCAAACATCAGAAGCGATGGTGGCTTCACCTCGTCACACAGAAGCATTGCTCTCTGAAACAGAAGGCTTGATACAAACTCCTGTTTAGAAGGAAATCTTGCCCCAGAAAAAAACTGTACAAAGAAAGATGCAAGTGGATGAGTGTATATTCTGTATAAACATGGTTCGATTTTAACTGAGACTCAAAAGAACATAAGAAGAGCCTGTTGGATGAAGCCAATGGCCCATCAAGTCCAGAACTCTGTTATCTCAGTGGACAACCAGATGCCTGTGGGAAACCCAAAAGCAGGACCCAGGACAAGAGCACTCTCTCCTCCTGTGGTTTCCAGCAATTGGTATTCATAAGCATTACAGTGGTGCCTCGGGTTAAGTACTTAATTCGTTCCGGAGCTCTGTACTTAACCTGAAACTGTTCTTAACCTGAAGCACCACTTTAGCTAATGGGTACTCCTGCTGCCGCCGCGCCACCAGAGCCCAATTTCTGTTCTTATCCTGAAGCAAAGTTCTTAACCCGCAGCACTATTTCTGGGTTAGTGGAGTCTGTAACCTGAAGCGTCTGTAACCTGCTTATATGTAACCCGAGGTACCACTGTACTGCCTCTAATGCAGAGCATAACCATCATGGCTAGTAGCTATCAATAGCCTTCTCCATGAATTTGTCTGATCTTTTTTTAAAAAGTCATCACTGCCTCCTGTGGGAGTAAGTCCCATAATTTATGTACTGCATGAAGAAGTACTTTTTTTTAATCTGTCTTGAATCTTCCAGCATTCAGCTTCCTTGGATACCCCTGAGTTCCAGTGTGTCAGGCGGCAGAGGAACCAACCTCCATGGCAGGTTGCCAGGAATGGATAAGAAAAGGGAAAGTCCTTACCATCTGCTTTTATTCAATGTTTACAGAGAAAGGCTTGAGAATGCAGCCTTTTGGAATAATGGCATTGCCCCAAGTAAATCTCCACTCCCCTTCTCTCCCACTTCCTCATTCATCATCTCTTCTATGGGTGGCGCTGAGAGCCCTTTGCTTCTGAGTCCTTTGCTCTCCTACTTTTAAGGCTCACTGGTTTCTGGGAGATGATGAGTCTGGAATGCTTTCTAGTGATAACATGTCAGCCAGCTGCTCCGGCTCTGCCGCCGCCTCCTCCTCCTCCTCTCCCATTATTTCACAGCTTTCCCCCTCATCTCCCTCTGAGTTGTGATCTCCCTCAAACCCCTGTTGTAATTCTGAACGGTCTTCTCCTCTGGAAGAGTCAGGCTGGGGAGGTGGTCTCCATCATTCCTCCCTCTGCCCAGGCCCTGGCACAGTATTATGTGATGATATGGGCATTGAAACAGCATGCAAGAAGTAAAATGGGTGTGTGGAATTAGAATATTTAAAACAACCCAAGAACTTGAAGACATAACGATATAAGACAATTTAAAAGTACAAAATCATAGGAAGCTGCCTTATATGACTCAAAACATTGGTCCATTTAGCTTGGTACACTGACTGGTAGTGGCTCTCCAAAGCTTCAGACAGGAGTCTCTCCAAACCCCACCAGGAGCTACAAGGGATTGAACCAGGGACCTTCTACATGAAGATCAGATGCTCTAACACTGAGCTGTAGTTCTTCCTCAAAGGTAGTTTGGAGGGTGGTGGACTCACCATCACTGGAAGCTTTTAAACAGAGGTTGGATGGCCATTTGTCATGGATTCTTGAGCTGTGATTCCTGCATTCCAGGAGTTTAGAATTAGGGGCCCTTCCAACTCTACAATTCTATGATTCAACATATCTTAAAAACCCCAGCAGTATTAAAATAGTTTTCCACACCCATTGGCCAAATAGCAATTAGTTCACTTTTTCATTGGATCGACTCCATACAAAAAAGGACTCTACCCTGGAGACCAGGGAAAAGGTGAGACAACTGGAAATAAATGGATCCAATTGTCTTGTTATTACATTTTTACTGTCAGCAAGAATAAAAAAGTAAGTAGCTCATAAAACAGAATTGGCATTAATTTCTGAAGTCACACTCTCACGATCTTGGATAAATTGTTGTGGTAAACAAACACCCGGGGAAGAATGAAGGCCATGCAAGCAGTTTCTTTAAATACGTTAATCCTATTGGAAAACATGAAGCATTTGAAGTTAATTAAAATCATTAATAACATAATTAATGACATTTTGAATGTGTCTATCAATAGACATTAATTATCTTGTAGCCAGTGGAACAACATAATGAGAGCATCATTCTTACTGATTAGTAAGATACTGTATGCTTTGCTTGGAATATGAATACAGCCAAACTAAGATGAATTAGCAAATGAAATGTTTATCCAACAAAGGGGGAATCAGCTGATTATGAACATTCTTTTGTGATGTTCACAGGGGAATGGGAGCTGACTCAAAAAAGGTCTTGGTGTTTACTTCCCAATAAATAAAAATAATCTGGGAAAGTGAAGCATCAAACAGAGAAGGACAATATGTGCAATGCATGATTGCATTTTGTATATCTGTTGTTGCTTTGTTGTTAATAGCAGCTGTTTGTGTAGGGAGTAGAAATGGGGAAAATATTTGGTTCAGTTTGCATTGAAAAGTGAACCTAACAAATCTGCAGTTTCTGAAACACTGTATGAACCAAAACGTAGCCATCTTTCAAAATTCACACTTGTCTGAATATTGCAATGATGTTCTCCAGCCGAGGAATGTGTACAAAAATGCACATACCAAGTGTGCATAACAATGAATGTGTTTGTGTAAATAATATACAAGATGCAGTATATTAGGAAAAAAACACTTTGCCACAATGTGCATTTATTCATGCTACATACGGAAACGTTTACGTATATTAGGAGAAAGAGGCACTAAAATGCTGATGGGTTTTCCATTGATGCGGAAATGTGGAGAACTGAACTCAAGATTGGAAAAGCAAAAAAAATCTGGGATAAACTGGAATTCACAGATTCACCCATTTCTAGCAGGGAGGGGCTGTTCCAGCTTGGGACCCCAGTATGTGGGGGAGGGGAGTATAACCTTTTCAGTTTGCATTATAGTCCCAAAGAAAAGTGTCCTTATCTTGGGTTTTCTTACTGAGATCAGGCAGCACATATGTTTTAATAACAAGAAAAACAATTTGCCCCACAACAAACTGAAATTCATTGAAAAGAGAAACATATGCTTCCAGTGTCTTCCTCAAAGCTACGCCACAGAGGGAATGCAGTCTGCCTGAGTTTGAGGCTCAGTCGCATAGCACTAAAACCCTGGTTTAGGCTGCAATCGAGCAAAAGATTCTTTGGATATCCCTCTCTTAGGGAAGAGAGAGTGGTCCTGCCTTGGAGAGGGAGATTCAACCTTGCATGCCTCCTCTGTGAGGTTACACAAAGGTGTTCAACTGGTGCCTCTGAGTGCCTCTGTTGCCAAAGAAGGCAAAAAAAAAAAGGAGTTCCAGGGGGCTTTGGGGACATGTTGGAAGAGGATGTGAATTCAATGGAATCAAAGACTATCCATTCCCTTTAAATGCACCCTTGAACAGAGGACAGACTATAAGGGAAAGGGAAAGGTACGACCCTGGCAAGGCATATGGGAAAGCAGATTGTCTGCCTTGGTTCTCCCTTCCGCTTTTGTTGGTTGCTTATTAAGTGTTATTTCTAACAGTCCTGTTACTGTAACCCACCAGAATAAACCATCTCAAAAATAAATATGCATGTCTTTAAATCTCAGCCCCATTGTCTATTGTTTCTCTTTGATCAATCAACGATAGATTTTTCTCAATTAATCTGCCAGTTCAACAGCCCTAAGACAGATGTGTTCTGTATGCATATACTCACATCAAAATTGGTCCTGCAAATGTAAAGCTCTGCCTACTCCATTATATAGATAGGCACCTGGGATGCGTGTGCTTTTCTTTACACTTGTCTTTCTCTCCCCCAGCCACCTCCACCCATCCATCTTCCTGAAACAACAGGTAACAAAGTGACAGAAGGAAGTGTACACCCTGGAGTTTTGTCCATGACTCACAAGAATCATATACATCATTCAGTTGTTCTCCGGCTTTCTTGACTTATGTGTTCCTTTTGCTCCGTGGGATACATTTAGGATCCCATAGGAAGCAATTAGATAAGAAATATCAACATATATTTATTAAGTAGACACAGTGCTCATTGTTCCCTCAAGTGTCATTTGGAAGTGCTGGATGGCTGAGGTTTGAAGTAATGGATTTCCTCAGCATTCAAAGAAAGGGAACATAAACATCCCCATGGCAGGTATGTATATTGCTCACTCCTCGGCTGAGGGCAGGTGGTGGCTGTTCCAAATGGAAGGGATGGGCTGCTCATGTCTTCGGGAGAAACATCTAACTTTCTCTGAGCAATTGCTGAATAGAGAGTTCCCGTTTCCCAAGACGTCATGTTGCCTCACTTTGCTTATAGTCTTTCACATCCACAGATCACCCCCTCCTGTCACTCATAACTTCCAGAGATACCTACAGGCATTAACTGGAACAGATGGCCCAGATGGGGATGGAGGAGTGTTTGAAGATTTCTGGCAACATTTTTTTTTGAGGGGGGGTGGAATGTGTGCAAATTGGGACACATTTTGAAAGCTCTTTTAATGACTCTGCCAAGTGTGTGTATGCACACACACACACGCACACACCACAACACGACGCAGGGAGAGAAATTTATGTTTTAATGTGTGGCAGGATGCACCATCTTGGCCACAATCAGAGCTGGATGAAAACTTTTTAGCTGCCCAAAGGAAGAGAAGGCTCCCCTCTTCCAGATGCAATTCAACACAAAAACAATACTAAAGTGTAAAATAAAATTTGGTTTTTTTCAACATGACACAGAATTTACATGTGTGCTGAAATTACAATAGCTCCTTCCTAGATTTTGTGTTTGCAAAATTCTGGGTAAGTTCATCAAAGCTGACTTGATGAAGCATTATTTTGCTCTGTGTTAGTAGGATGCATGTCACTTGCAGAAAAGAGACCGGGAATATGGGGAAAGCTTGTGTGGCGGAGTGTAACACAGTTCTGAATTTTCCTATTATGACTACTTTGATGCCATTTCCCCCTTAGAAATAGCAAATGTCAAATGCTTTAAAAAGAATCTCATGTGTGTGCATGTGCGTGTGCTGCTGCTTTGCTGGTGCTCTAAGCATGTGCTTAGTCTGCCTATTGGGTAATTCAGCACTGGCCCCGATGCATGCATCTAGATACAGAGATACAGGAAGAACCTAATGGCAAGGGGGAGACTAACATGACCCCCATCTGCTAGCCTGCAAAGGAGCAATGGTACAAATGCTTGCTTTCCCTTCCGCTCTCTTTTCCTTTCCCCCCTTTTCTGACTATTCGATTACAAGCTTGCAGCAGGGACTGCTTCATATTTTCATATATGTATAGCTGGAACTCACTATGAAGTTGTTACAGGAAGTGCCACATTTTTTAAAAACAAAAAGTGGTGCTGGTACCGCATACCCTTGAGTACCCTTGAGTACCCCCTGAAAAAAGCACTGTGCATATAGAAAATTCTAGGTGCTTTAAAAGTGTTTAATAATGATGATACTATAGGGCAGGGTAAAGGAACCTCAGGCCCAGGGTGGGAGCAAATGCAGCCCTCCAGATTTCTCTGTCTGACTCTCAGGATTTTCCGCAGCCCACAAACCTACCTGAGCCACCCCCTGCATCAACCTTGCTTGGCTCCCCCCGCTCGCTTTGATTGTTTTTGTCTGTCTGGAATGAGAATGCTTCCTGCTTCCCTGGGCGGAGGCCAGAGAGGGATGTGTGAGTGTGAACCAACTAGTCTGTTGTACAAAAGTCAAAATCACGTTTTCCTTTGTGCACATTTGCCTCTGGTCTCACCCACCACTGAAAAATGTTCCCCACACTAATATACAGCCACAATCAGGGCTGTCTTTAGCATATGTGCTGCCGGGGCGCAAAGATCTGTCCAGCGCCCCCAAATTTAGTTTAGCTGCCCCCTATTTAACTTTTATTGACCTTTTTTGGGGGAGCGGCGAACTCAAAGTTGTTGAGCTTGAGCTTTTTGGGGGGGTTGGAATCACTCACCTGTAACAACAACGCAGCAGAAAAAAACTGCTTTTGTTTCCTGACTAGTTGGGAATTTTTGATGCTGCGGAATAACAGAGTGACAGAAGAGGGGGCAGAGACTTTCGCTCCATTGCTTTTCACTGCTGCCCATTGAGAGGGACCGGTATACAGTGGGTATACATTTGGCGCACCCCCAGAATTCGGTGCCAGGGTGCCCTGCACCCCTTGCACCCCTGGGTAAAGATGGCCCTGGCCACAATACAATCTGCACTACAGTGGTACCTCAGATTACATACGCTTCAGGTTACAGATTCCGCTAACCCAGAAATAGTGCTTCAGGTTAAGAACTTTGCTTCAGGATAAGAACAGAAATCGTGCTCCGGCGGCATGGCGGCAGCAGGAGGCCCCATTAGCGAAAGTGGTGCTTCAGGTTAAGAAAAGTTTCAGGTTAAGTACAGACCTCCGGAACGAATTAAGTACTTAACCTGAGGTACCACTGTATACATGTAAAGCTGTATTTACACAAGTTATGTCTTCCCCCCAAACCTCCTGTGAACAGCGGTTCCTTAAGGGTGCCAGGA